AACCGTTCAGCATTGACCAAACACTGAAATACCAGTTTTTGGGTGGACTGATGCTTCAAAGATATTTCTTAAAAATGAGTCTCACTTCCACATGGGAATTTCAGGCATTTGTGATAAACAGAGCATACATGACAACTGGATGTTTATAATGACATAATTTTAGTACAAATGTGTTGTTTATAGGAAAAGCATTAAATGACTAATAATTTAGCGTAATAAGACTTGTAATTACCATAACACTGGGTGTTACCATAACATTACCATAACTGGTCTACTGGATGCCAAGGCAGATGGCTGCTCTCTTAAAGGAATATTCTGCTTTTTTTTGCCCTTGCCCTCCCATCCTCCGTGCCTTCCCGTTGACCCATGATGCCACCCGTTGCGTTTAGTGGCCAATAGGAAGATGTGGAGAATGGGAGGAGAGGGCCAGAATAGCAAACAAGAAGCTATGTGTGCCCCAAATTTTGGGGGTTCCAGGAAGTCCCCTCTCTATGGATCAGAAGCTGCCCTAGGAAGAAAGAACTGCCTCTCCCCCTAAAGGTTTCCTTGTAGTTGAGTTAAATTAAATTCCTCTTAATACCCAATGTTCTTTTCCCACATCTGTACCTAATATGAGGTTAGGTCATTTTTTGTAAACTAGGCTCCAAAAGGACCGGCACTGAAGTTTCAAAATATCTTTCATTGCCTTCATTGTTTTGCAATCAACAGTATTTGGCTGGGTGCACTGTTTTGTAAGATTGATGGGGTTTACGCCAGCTTTTCACAGTACTATATACAGTATATCAACTGGTTGACCATTTCTGTTGTAAGAATTCCACAAATAGAAACCATCGGTTATTTTCTTACTTTTTTATTTAGAGCAAATTTACATTTATTTTATGTGATAAATCTGATATTCAGTACAATTACAAAGCAGACTGTGCCCTACAACAACGAGATAGGCCATCTTTGTGCAATCCAGTTGCACAATTGTTTAAAAATACAAACAGGAAAAAAATTGTAATGAAACAGTCAATCCACCCAAATAAATATTGTAGATTTAGAAGAAGACTGTTGGGGTTGAGGGACATATTAGCATCTGTATGTCTCGGTGACTTTAGTGGTGAGATCTCCGTGTGATGATTCCTTCTTCTGTTCCTGCATACCTCTTAGCTTTGAGTATTCCAAGTGGGAGAGAGAGACCCCAATCTAATGGACTCAGCACCTGGGCTTACAACTACTGACCGAGCTCTCAAAACTAGATCAGGGCCAGATTTATACTTCCTGTCCAACTGTGTTGTGGATCCCTCCTCCTGCCACAATTGACTTCATAACTTTAGTGTAATAATAACAAAGATCAGACATTGTAGTCACCCAAAGAATGGCCAGGTTGGGGGCAAAGAGGCTGTAAGAGAGTCACCCAGAACCAATGACTAGAACAGTAGACAAACAACTCAGCAGCTCAGTTCTAGGTGTACAATTCCAGAATGGGCTACTCTACCTTTTGCTATATATGGGGATTTGATAGTAATGGAGAGGAACATGATGTGTAGCTGGTTGTGTGCGGTCCCTAGCAGTCCTCCAATCCTATACCATGGCCTATTTTGGCTATGAAGAAATTAATCATGGATTGTGTCAAGGCAGATGAGGCTGATTGTTGAAACATCTCCAAAATGACAGAATAATTCCAAATTAATGTTACTGAATATGATTAGCTATTTAATGGCAAATTCCAAATTAACAGAAGTCCATGAACCCTGACTCATAGAAATGAAAGTGCAAATTCAGCCTGCAGGTGCAGCTTAACTGCTATGAACTCTGACAGGACCCCAGTCCTCCCATATTCTCATTATTTATAATTGCTGCCATATAGACAACCTCCCCACACTAAATGACAAAGTCTCCTCTAGCACATCATCATTCCTCCTCAGGTGCGGTGAAGGAGAAATAGATACAAATACTTAAATCAGGTTTGATGCCCCCTATCCACCACCCCCATCACCATCTCAGATCCATGGACCCAATAGCGCTTTCTTGTTCTGCAACCCTGTTCCTATGCCACTCAAATCAGCTGATCCAACACACAAAAGTTGTCCAGAATCCAGTCTTCTCCAGAGTGTTCTCCGGGTACTTTCTTTATGAAACAGCAGGAGATGTCCACCCTGTAGAAGTCTATGTGACAACCTGACTTTAATTAAAATGTGCAATATCAAATGACTGTGTGGAAAGTATAGTCATTCAAGTTGTCACAGAAGTCTGCCTGTGACAACCATGTACTGATGTTGTGGATCACCTACACTCCGTTCAGAGTTAAGACCTTTAAAAAGGTGGTGCTCGCAGTGATGGCACCTTGCTGAACTTGGTAGATCCCATCCCTATAGCATAAACAAAGTCAGAACATAAATCTTGGTTCAGTTCATTTAGGTATCATCACATTAGTTATATGAAGCTAATGTTTTGAGGCCTACTGGGGTCCTTTCCTTAGGACGAACCCTACCTGCCCCCAAAATGTTGGCTTCTTATGACTAATGTGACAATACCTCAATAAATTGAACTAAGATTTATGTTCGGACTTTGTGTGTGTAGGTGACTTTCCTTCCAACACTTTGCCTGTGACAGCCAATCAGCTTGTATTTTATATATAGAGCTGGGATCTGCCTGGTAGCTGTGGGTTACTGGAAGCTAATTCCCGTACTGGCTGATATGATGAACTTATAAAGTGCAGAAATGATGAATGCCAAGTTAAAGCAACCACCATTTATCTGTCATGGGGTATTGCATGAATGCTAACCTATGTGAGCATGCTAATCTTTGTGGGCATGTTGCTTGGATACATGGGTTTGCAAGCGAGGGGATGTGCATCCCTAATTCCAGGCTTGGCACCAGAAGGCCTTTTTATGGAACAGTACTAAGCTGGGAAGTTGTTGGATGGTCTTCAGCTGTCACCCTGCAATTTGACCCTCAACCCATTTCTGATTTGCTTCCTTGTTGCTGACTCTGACTTGGACTTCTTTCTGCTCTGCCTCCTTGTTATTGACCTCGGCTAGTCCCTGACCATGGCTTTTTCTTTTATTTCCGGTTTGACATTGGGTGAGTTCCTGCCCGTGTACTCTCTCTGCCTAAATTCTGGTGTGACCTTGGCCTGCTTCCTGACTGTGACACTGCTTGCTACCAAACTTCCATAGCCCAATATCACCGCTACTTCACGGCAGCACTAGAGAGAATGGTGGGTGCACACCGGCCGAGCCCATCTTGCTCCAGCATCAGTCAGGAGTTTCCATTGAAGGGTACTGTTAATACTACAGCATACAAGGATGTTTTAGACAATTAGGCGCCTCCAACTTTGTGGTGTGGAAAAGCCCTTTTCTGTTCCTGTGCACAAAGCCAGCTCCATAAAGACATGTTATAATGGGTTTGGTGTAGAAGAACCCAAGAAGCCTGCACGGAGCCCTGATTTCAACCCTACTGAACACCTTTGGGATGAATTTCATGCCAGGTCTTTACCCATTATGAGCTAGGTCTTCACCCACTGCAGTGTCTTCTCGCCCAACATCAGTACCTGACCTCACAAATGCTCTTTTAGTTATATAGGCCCCCCGAGTGTCAGAGACACACTCCAAAATCTTGTGGAAAGCCTTCCAAGACAAGTGGAGGCTGTTATAGCTGCTGAGGGAGGCAACTCTACAGTATATTGGTCCACATGGTTTTGGAATGTATTGTCCAACAAGCTCATGCTGGTGTGATAAATCACCTGCCCACAAACCTTTTAGTGTATAACACAATTTGGGAAAAGCTTTTTTAACAATCCAGGCAAGTGTACCACAACAACTAAAATAGGTGGAAATGCACAAAGCCAGCTCCATAAAGACATGTCATAATGGGTTTGGTGTAGAAGAACCCAAGAAGCCTGCACAGAGCCCTGATTTCAACCCTACTGAACACCTTTGGGATGAATTTCATGCCAGGTCTTATCCCACTGCAAGTTCTTCTCGCCCAACCTCAGTACCTGACCTCACAAATGCTCTTTTAGTTATATAGGCCCCCGAGTGTCACAGACACACTCCATAATGTTGTGGAAAGCCTTCCAAGAAAAGTGGAGGCTGTTATAGCTGCTGAGGGAGGCAACTCTATATTAGTCCACATGGTTTTGGAATGTATTGTCCAACAAGCTCATGTTGGTGTGATGGTCACGTGCCCACAAACCTTTTAGGAAATGCCACAATTTGGGAAATGCCTTTTTAACAATCCAGGCAAGTGTAACACAACAACTAAATAGGTGGAAATCAGTGGCGTAACACCATAGCGACCCAGGCAGCTGATATGGGGCCCGGGGCACAGTAGGGCTCTGCCAGATGCCATGCAGGCCGCCTGGGTCGCTATGGGATCCTCTGCTGATGGCTTCCACTGGCGGCTGAAGACGAACATGCCGCTGTTCAGATCACTGACAGTAATCTGTGTAGCAGAGCGTTCCTCTCCACAGATTCAATGAGAACCAGCAGCGACAGTGAAGGGGGAGGAGGCGGGGCCCATGGTCGGCAGCAGGGGAGGAGGCGGGCCCGGTGACGAAGAAGGAGGAGGGCCCGGCGACGGAGGAGGAGGCGGAACCCATCAGCGACCGTGGAGGAAGAGGAGGCGGACAGGTAAGGAGTGCGACTAGCCCACCTGAGGGTGACCTGCATAGCCCTGCAAGTTCACCCTCAGGTGGGATCTCGAGTGGGCTCTGCAAGGGGTATAACTAGAAATCACGGGCCCCGTACAAAATGTTGCTATGGGGCCCTGTGATTTCTAGTTACGCCCCTGGTGGAAATGCAAAATGATGCTAACAGTCAGGTACAAGGAATTTGAACATTTATAAATGACTTCTATTTCATTAAAATGTGGAAGATATTATGTTCACCATTATGGAATAAGAGACTTTATGGGGAACTTGTTTTGTTATATGATTTACATTGGCACAGTTTCTTAAAGAGCAAAAAACACCCGACCAGCGATATATATGCCCATTTGTTACTCCATTTACAGATGGCCAGCGACCTTCATTTCCAGTCAGCTTAGTTGTACGTTAAGAAGGCTTATTTAGCCAATAAGAAATCTGCTTCCAGTCTTACATTCATTTTGAGATGGCGGATTGTCCTTTTTCTCCCGGAGGTCCAGGATATCCACGAGTTCCTGGAAAGCCAGCTTCTCCTTTAGATCCTTTTGGTCCTGGATATCCTTGTAATCCATTGTTTCCTGGAAGTCCTGGTACACCAGGGAGACCCGAAGGTCCTTTGTCACCTGGTGGGCCTTCAGGTCCCGGAGGACCTACATCACCTTTTGTTCCTTTTTGGCCTTTTGGCCCAGGTGGGCCCATACTGCCCTTTTCACCTTTAACACCAGAACTACCTTTAATTCCAATAGATCCTTTTTCTCCAGCAGGTCCAGGATCGCCCTCTAGCCCCCTCGGTCCTTGAGGTCCTGGAACACCTAGGTCACCTGTGTCACCTTTGTCTCCCTTCAGACCTATTGGTCCCTTGGTTCCTACATCGCCTTTATATCCCCTTGGACCTGGTGGACCTGGTGAACCTGTTAAAAAAAATTATAATATTAATTATATAAACTTATTTTAGAACGTGTGCATCCTTATGAGCAGGCACCAACGTTTTGCCCCTTTGAGGGCAGCAACATGGGCTTTGAAGACAGAAGATAAGGGCACAGGTTCACTGCAATGTTTATGTGCATCAGGAGGAAATACAATTGGCTTCTCCATCCTTCGTGGTGGATAGCCATAAAGTAACAAAAAGACCCCTCGTCTACTTACCTTTTACTAGAGTTGGTCTTTTTCCAGGGCACCTCCAGATACATTCCATTGCCTCCAGTTCTAAGACCATGGTTGGGGTAACAGATCTGTGAGGGGTATTGGCACTGGTTGACTTATAAACTGGAAGCAGCTGGTGCCTCTGCTCAGGCCCCCAGACAAAGCCCAGACCTGAAAGTATTCCTGCGTAGTAACCCAAAGGTGAACCAGTCCTGGAAAAAGGTAAGTTGTTGATGGACCTTACTGTTGTTTTTGGCTACCCAGGAGCAGAGGAGCATGTGAACTTTAGTACTAATTTTAGGTCTTCTTTGACATAGTTTTGTTCTCTGGTTACATTTTGTGTCAAAACACAAAGTGTATCCAAACCCAAGAAAAAAGTATGTCATACACTTCAGCTTAACAGGCCTTACTGTATATGTGGCAGCTTCATTACTTTTCCTTTTTTAGGCTACATACAACGATCAGCCATTACATTGTGATTACTGATAGGTGAAGTGAATAACATTGATTATCTCATTACAATGACAGCTTTAAGCAACAAGTGACCATTTGGTCCCTGAAGTTGATGTGTTGGAAGCAGAAAAAATGGGCAAGCGTAAGGGTTTCAGGGACTTTGACAAGGACCAAATTGTGACTGATTTCAAAACTACAGCTCTTGTGAGATATTCCCGATCTGCAGTGGTCAGGACCGACCAAAAGTGGTCCAAGAAAGGAAAACTGGTGAACCGGCAACAGGGTCATGGACAGCCAAGGCTCATTGATGACATGGGGAGTAAAGTCCGATCCATTAGAAGAGCTACTGTAGATCAAATTACTGAAACAATGAATGCTGGCTTCAATAGAAAGGTGTCTGAACACACAGAGCATCATGTATGGGGCTGCGTAGCCGCAGACTAGTCAGAGTGCCCGTGCTGACCCATGTCCACCACCAAAAGCACCTACAATGGGCACGTGAGCATCAGAGCTGGACCATGGAACTTTGAGTTCAAGGTGTTGATCTGGCCTCCAAATTCTTCAGATCTCAATCCAAACGAGCTTCTGTGAGATGTGCTGGAGAAACAAGTCCGGTCCATGGAAGCCGATCACCTCACAACTTCCGGGTCCAAGGAAGGAAAATCGGTGAACTGGTGACGCGGTCATGGGTGGCCAAGACTCATTCACGCATGTGGGGAGTGATGGATACCGATCACCTCACAACTTACAGGACTTAAAGGATCTGCTACTGACGGCTTGGTGCCAGATACCACAGCACACCTTCAGAGGTCTAGTGGACTCGATGCCTGGAGGGGTCAGGAGAAGGGGGACCTACTCAATGTTAGGAGGGTGGTCATAATGTTGTGGCTGATCGGTGTATTCTGTATCTACAGAAGAATACTGGTCCATCCTGCCGGCAATGTCGTCACTTTCCCAGCTTCTGTGGATGACAAAGCAACACCCCCCTATGTTATGAAGATGAGAACAGGAGGTGATGTTTGCAGTCCAAAGCAGGAGAACCTAGGGTGACAACACTGCTCCTCCATGGATACAGTACAGTGAGTGAGCGTTGTCATCCTAAGACAGGAAGAGTATTACTGGCAGGATCCACCACATCTCAGGACCGGAAATCTGCAATACATTACATTTTTGATTCGGGGTTTAGATATTTAAAATTCTTGAACCGGCACACCCGCTCTATTGTTGGAGTGGCTCGAACCTGACGCGTCGCAGGTATTTCTGAAGCGTTTAGTGCCATCGGCTTCCCATAAAAATAACCCTGTAAAGTGTAACCGAATGTGTTTTATCCATCACGGTATCTGCCGCGTGGAAAAAAAATAAATCCCCATTCTCTGCCTCGCCGCTCTCGCCCGTCAGCCGTGTTGTGTGATGTCAGACTTGGCGGCGGTTCATCCCACCGGCGGTGGAACAGAATGAAGAGTGACTTATACGACTTGTGAAGTCTGAGTCACTCCGAGGGGTTTATGGCCGCGCGGCTCAGCGGCTCGGTTTACTTTAGACATTTCCCGGCTCCTTGTTATTCCCAACTTTTTCGATGGACGCAGCTAAAGCTCGCTTCCCGCACGCACGTAGAAAAGAGGGAAAGTTTTACAAAACACCATAGAGATGTCTGTTTGTTGAAGTCGTTATGTTCTGCTCATGCATGATAATCACGGAAGAACGAAAATAACACATGCTGAAAGTATAACAAATGTGAACAAATGTGAACACCCCAAAAAAACCACAAAAAGTAATACTTGTTTCGTTAATTAAAAAAATGAACAATTAAATTAAATCTAAAAAAAAAATTACAAATATTCTAAAATATCAAAAGTATAACAGAATATTTAATATAATATTCAATAATTAAAAAGAATAATAATAAAAAAATAGATTATAGCTAGATAAAGCTTGTCTATAAAATATTATGTTAGTCCAATAAGAAAGGTATCACTGCAAATTGCAAACATGACTGAGCACCAGTGCACAAAGCAAGGTCCATAAAGACATGGATGGGGGAGTTTGGGGGGGAGGAACGTGACTGGGCTGCACAGAGACCCGACCTCAACACCATAGAACACCTTTGGGATGAATTAGAGCGGAGACTGCGAGCCAGGCCTTCTCCTCCAACATCAGTACCTGACCTCACAAATGGTCCAACACTCCCATAGACACACTCCTAAACCTTGTGGACGCCTTCCCAGAAGAGTTGAAGCTGTTATAGCGGCAAAGGGCGGAGCCAACCCAATACTGAACCCTACGGACTAAGACTGGGATGCCATTAAAGTTCCTGTGGGTGTAAAGACGTCCCAATACTTTTGGCAATATAGTGTATATAACAGATATATTTATTTAAAATAATAAAATTCAATTAAAATAAATGTGTGTGAATTGATTAGGATCCTTCACCTTCATCATACCCCATGCAGCTAATACCTTATGTCAACAATTTATAGCTGAACTCCTCCAGTTGTACCGGCTCCTCTCCTGGACTGAATTTGCTCCCTCTGATATCACTGCACACTGGGAGCTTCTCACAATGTGCATTAAAAGCTGCAGCATGACAGATAGAGCCCGCCTCATTTCCTGGCTGGAGAACAATCCAGTATCACCTAGCTCTTTCCCCCCCTGCCTGACTGTCCCTGACCCCGCCCCTTTCATTCAGTTCTTTCAATCATGGAGGATCAGAATCACATGTGGGGGTTACCTAGGGTGGTTTGCATGCCAATGCAGCCTGATTAGGAACCCCCACTTCTGCAGACTGACACCCAGCCATCAAGGTATTATAATATTTGCATAACTCCTCTCAAGAGCCAGCCCACTGCTTGCATCATGGCTCTTAAGAGAAGTACTGGGGCAGGGTGCTGTGATGTTTTCAGGTAGTTATGTACAGCTACGCTCCCCATGCGTAACAGGCAGTGTACGCAATTAGTATAAAGTCCGCACAGCTTCACCTCATTCACCACACACATGGGCTGATTTATAGCTCTTCTGTCCAGCGCACAGCTGGGTGCATACCATTAGCCCATCACTACCACCACTAGATGGTGCTAGTACAGGAACGTTCTATGCTCCCCAGCGCCATCTAGTGGCAGTAGTGCTGTATAGCTGCAGTGTATAGCTGGGCAGAAGAGTAATAAATCAGCCCCTAACTAATAATTCACTTAGGTATGTGTACATGCTCTACTCCCTTACTGAATTAACTCCAAGCTATCGTATTTTGCGCTCCATAAGGCGCACCGGACCATAGGACGCAGAGAGGTTCTGTGACAGGTTCTATGACAGAAGCTGCAGTTAGTGACCGCTGAGACAGGTGGCGCTGTGATTACAGCACCACGGTCTCAGTGATCACACAGAGCAGACGAAGAACGGATGTTCTTCGTCTGCTCTAGGGGCTCTATGGTGAGCTCCTAGAGGAGCGGGGGACCCCGAAAACCATGATACGGGGCCCGGACTCGATCGCCGCCGCCGTTCGGTTCTAATAGAAGTGATCTGATTAGATCACTTGTATTAAACGAGCAGCGGCTCCCACTGTACATTTAGCTCCGCTTTAGCAGGGCTAAATGTACAAAAAACTACTCGCCCGGCGCCCGAAACTGCATGTTCCCGGGCGTCGGGCGATAGGGATTCGCTCCATAAGACGCAGGCACATTTTCCACCGCCTTTGAGGGGGAAAAAAAGTGCGTCTTATGGAGCGAAAAATACGGTATCTAACTATTCTTCCAAAGAAAAAAAGAAATACTGCTGCCATTTTTTTTTCTTAGACTTCGGTTCCGCTTTAACGCAGAAAAAAAGAAATGTAAACTATGCAAACAAATCATGCGTGTTGTAATATATTGCCGTGTGCGTGACAAGGGGCCGCGGGCTCGGGTTGAGGTTTTTTTTTATGTTCCATGCTGGAGGTTCCGGTGTGTGGTGTTACATCTCTGCTGTGTTTGTGGAATTCTTTACAGGCATGGGAATACATTCTTTACAGTGTAATAATAAAATACACACTGGTAGTCAATAGCTAACACTTGACAGACCGAAGGGCAGTTCGAAGTCAAGCTGTCAACCGCGAAGGTTGACGTACACTCACCGGCCGCTTTATTAGGTACACCTGTCCAATTGCTTGGTAACACAAATTGCTAATCAGCCAATCACATGGCAGCGACTCAATGCATTTAGGCATGCAGACGTGGTGAAGACGACTCACTGAAGTTCAAACCGAGCATCAGAATGGGGAAGAAAGGGGATTTAAGTGACTTTGAACATGGCATGGTTGTTGGTGCCAGACGGGCCGGTCTGAGTATTT